TTTGACCTCTATAATGCACCAAGGATCTTCACTTTTACATCGGAAACCACCCCCAAAGTTTGAAATCGAAGCATTATTTCGACTAGTTATGCTGTACACAGACACAAAAMCAAAGAAAAAAAAAATACACACTTCATTGTAAAATCAATACATTCTTCACTTCGTTCAGAATCTAAAATGAAATGTTATTTTAAATTCTATAAAACAAGTTAAGCAAAATAACAGTAATACATTAATTAAAAATAAAATATTACCTATATACTGTAGAAGAATAAAATTAAAATCGCGACATACTGGAAAGTATCATATTTTGATATTTTGATAATTTCAATAATATTAAATATTAATTATTAATAACTAATATTAAAATTTTTTTTAATAATTAAAGAAAAAATATTTTTCATCATCAAGTTTAATACACAATAATTAAGTGAGAAAAATGAAATGTAGAAGAGGGAACAATTTATGAGACAAGCGTTTAATAGCTGTTGACAATTTTTAGAATCCATTGTCACAAATTTGTCAGTGGAAATAACTGATAATATCACTATTTTCCTGAGCAAAGTTTGATAAAGACTTATTATTTTACACAATAAATTTGATTATAATTTTAATATTCATGCAACAATACAGTGTGATCACGATTTAAAGTAACACTAAATATGTCAGATGGATGACCTTGTATTGCAATTGGGTTTTTGGAAGGTGATAGGGTGATTTTTTTTTAGTAATCCACTATAATAGGGTTACAATTTTAACTATTTATATAGTGGAATTTTGTTTTATTTTTCAATAGCTCTAATAACGATAAGATAATCAGATAATAATAATAAAATAATAAAATAAGAGTGAAATAATTAAACATTATTTTTAGCGTAAGATATTTCATACGAGTAGACTGTCTTAATTAAACGTATAACAAAATACYTATAATGATAATAGTGATACATGCAGGGTAGGTTAGTTTTAGTTTTAGTCTGAAAATATATATTTAAGTACTCCTTATCACCTCCTGAAAACCTAATTGCACTACAAGGTCATCCACCTGACATATTTAGTGTTACCTTAAATAGTGTTTACACTGTAAACAGTTTGGTAATTATTCTTTTTGTTTTTAGTAACCAGACTTTAATAACATGGTTTATTTTTTTAGTACTTAGATGAGTTCTGACTTRTAACTTATTTAAAAAATATATACTATTAGATATACTTAAAATATAATAAYATAAAAACAAAAGAATTTTGTAGATTTTTCTATATTTATATTTAACATTGTGGTCATAACAGTAATTTTTATTTTTATACATAGTAACACTTTGTAACAAAACAAAAAATTAAAATTAAAGAAATACTTTGGTTATGGTAGAATTCAATAACATCTAAAAAAGTTGTTTGTGGATGCTAAAATAAAACCAAAAATAAATAAATAAATTGGGATTTATCGCAATAGAATATTCATCTATAAACCACCGCCACTTCTTTCCACGCTAATTTTGCTTTGAGTTTTATTATGGAATTCTTCTAATTCGGCCATTCTGGCAAAACGAGAGTGGGATATATGACCAGACTTAAGAGCGGACATCATCTAAAAGAAAACACATCTTATATAAAATAAATTAATATGGTATCACTCATCACACTAAAATTATATTAAAAAAACATTAGTATAAACTCAAAATAAAAAATAAAATAAAAAAATGTTTAGTTTAATTTTCATGTTAAAACAGTAATGTTGAAATTGATTAATATTTATATGTATACCTGTAAGTATTCATCCAGCTCAACTTGGCCATTCATATTGGTGTCTATTTCTTTCAGAATTTCATGAAGTTCATCTCCAGTTACATTTTCACCAGCATTCTGTTTTAAAATGTAAGACCGTATAATTGTTAACTACGTCAAATAAAATAATTGATAAAAATAAATACCTTCATACTCCTACGAATGTCATTGATAGAAACATATCCTTTGTGATCATGATCGAGAATCTGGAATCTCTTCACATACATTTTAACTTCTTCTTGAGATAGAGTAATTGGAATTTTGTCTCGAGATGCTCTGTTCACGCTCATACCCATTTCAGTGGCCAAGAAATTGTGGGCCATTTTCAATTGTTTCTAAACATAGTAACATGATACATTTAATAGTATCTATTTAGGTTGTAAAGTTGTCAAATATCAAACCTGTTTTTCATCCTCACTCCAATTTAATTCTTCAGCCATAATGTTTACAATAGTTGGGAGTGCTTCTTGAGCAGCTTGTACATTTAGGAATGCCAATCGTAAACGTCTAGCAATCATATCAACAGCCGTAACAGCGTATTCTCTAACTCCATAACGAATCTTTTAAATGAAAATAAAGTTTCAAAAATTATGTACAGAAAATTGTAGTGTAATTTTAATCTATTATTACCTCAGCATCAATGTATGGAAATTCAGGGTGAATTTTATTACCAATTATTGGCCAACGTTTGCCAGTAAGGTTAGCTAATTTAGCTACAGCAAATGCTCTGTCACCATATGACGTAGCTAGATGTTGAGCCACTTCACATTCCAAACCAAAATCTTGTACCAATCTGATATACATAGTTGGTGTCCATCCATGTGCTCCTTCCAATTGGAGACCATCTGTTTGACATTCAGGTTTTTTTGGTTTTAATTCTGGAACAGCTGTAAAAATAATCTTGAGTTGCATAAAAACAATAATTGATTAGTAAAAAAAAAAAATCAAAGCAACCTTTTATTGCAGCATCAATAGTTTCCTGAGCCATAGCTCTATATGTAGTCCATTTACCTCCAGCAATTGTTACTAAATTAGATTTGCTTACATGCACAATATGATTACGTGCCAGTGACTGAGTGTCACCTTTATTTGGATCCGACACTAATGGACGAATACCACCCCATGCACTTAAGACATCACCTCGGCGTACTAAAATCAGTTTTTAAATATTAAATAAATATAAAAAAATATAGTATTTTAAGTCCGGTTATGACTTCTATCTAAATTATAGTTTTAAAAGCTCAATTTAAATATATACCTTCGACATCTGAGTTCAGATAATTTTTAATTTCATTTAATATGAACGAAATTTCATCTTCTGTAGGAGTAGGATTATATGTTACATCACATGGGCTGTCTGTGGTACCTGATAGTGTATGCTTTTGCCATGGTAAAAAGAATATAACACGGCCATCAGACGTTTCGGGGTCCAAAAGTCCCATTTGCTCAGGGCTATTAATATGAGAAATACATTGTTTAAATCAAAAATATATTATATTAGGATTAGTAAAAATTACCTGTAATAACCAGGTAATACAATATGAACACCTTTACTAGGAGTACATATTTCCTTAACATTGCTATCATCCATTTTTCGTACAGAATCAGTAAAAGGCCCAGCAGCATTTATGACGCACTTTGCTTTAACATCCCATTCTTTTCCAGTGAGTTCATCTCGGAGGTGTGCTCCACTAATTTTTCCATTATCGTCTTTAAGAATATGAACTGCTTTTACATGATTTGCTACAGTGGCACCATAACGAGTTGCTGTCAGTGCTAAAGCAAGACACATTCTAGCATCGTCTTGTTGACCTAAAATATAACAAACCGATGAAACAACTAAACAAACTAAACAATTAAATTGTCAATACCGTCATGATATACAATAGCTCCAACCAATTTATCTTTTTTAAGCATGGGAAATATTTCTAATGCTTCATTTTTGGTCAAATAATAAGAACTTTTAACTGTTTTTGAACCTGCTACAAGGTCATATGCTTTAATACCAACCCAGTAGTAAGGAACTTTCCACCACCTATATAACCATAAGAAATAATCAAAACATGTGAATTAAATAAAAAAAAATAGAACTTACTCATAAACTGGTAACATGATTGGTATTGCATGGGTTAAATGAGGAGCTGTCTTAAGCATTGTTGCTCGTTCATGCAATGCTTCTTTGACCATTTTGTATTGTTCCATATCTAAATTAAGTATTGCTTTTTGCAAGTAACGTACACCACCATGGATGAGTTTAGTGCTGCGACTTGATGTACCTGACGCAAAATCGTCTAACTCAACCAGTGCAGTTTTTAAACCTGAAAATCATTATTTACATTATCAACAATTTAAATTTAATTTAAAATTATATTATAAATTCAAATTTATTATCATATTTAATCTCGTATTTAATATTTAAAACAGGCTCAACATTTTTAGACTAAATATCTTACCTCGCGTGACTGAGTCAATAGCACAGCCAGCACCGGTAGCACCTCCTCCAATAATCAGGACATCAAAGTCTTCTGAATGTAAAGATTGGATTTGAGTACTTCTTGGAGGTAATGTACGTAGTCTTCCAGTTTTTTTACCGGCTTCTGCTTGCACTGTTTGTAATTGCTTCAGTAAAAAATAAATAATTTTCATTAAATGTATCACAAGTAATGATAAAATGTATTTACTTAAAATGTATTTTTATTTTTTTTTAACATCAAAACATTTTAATATACAAACAAGTTTGCTATATAAATTTGAAACCTACTCTCTGTCAGCAATGCTTGTGACAAGAGTAGGGAGTATACCTATTACCTAGGTCCTAATATTTTTATTAAAAAATACATATATATATATATATTATATGTGTATACAGGGTGATTGATTTATCAAGCAACACTCATTATTTCAAAAAGTATTGACTTTTTTCAAAATATTTTTTTACATGGTTTCAAGTTGTTAAAAAACCAACGTTTTTATTAAAAAAATTATATTTTTAAATATTTTTTATCCTTATCATTTTTTAACTTTTTTACTTTTTTGAATGGCAACCTAGAGTTTTAATTTCATATTCCAAAGCAGAATATTTTTCTAAGTATTTTGATACATAAAAATCGAATTTGGGGCTAATAGTTTATGAGTTATAAGTATTTAAAGTTTAGACAAGCAGAGTAGTCGAGTAGTGGACAAACATTTTGCAGAATAACCCCGTACTACTCCACTCTGCCAATCACAACTTTAAATATTTATAACTCATAAACAACTAGCCCCAAATTCAATTTTTATGTATCAAAATACTTAGAAAAATATTCTGCTTTGGAATATGAAATTAAAACTCTATGTTGTCATTCAAAAAAGTAAAAAACTTAAAAAATGATAAGGATAAAAAATATTTGAAAATGTAATTTTTTAATAAAAACTAGGTTTTTTAACAACTTGAAACCATGTAAAAAAATATTTTGAAAAAATCAATACTTTTTGAAATAATGAGTGTTTTATGATAAATCAATCACCCTGTATCTACTTAAACAACAAGTGCAATAATAATAAAATAGTAATATAACAAAAGTAATACATACTGTTGGGTTTTCTCCAGTCAATAACCATGTGGAGAAATAGGCTCCAGCGGTAACTGAAGCACCACCAACAATTAGATTATAAAGTTTTGACGTCATTATGTAATCTAAGATAAAAAATTTAATTTAATTAGTAAATTACATAATGTAGGTAACTGTTATAAGCTATCATTTACTTGAAGTAAAAATTATAATACTGAAAATACCAAAAATTTTACTAATTTCAGTATAATTGAATAGTTTATTACTTATTTAAGACATATTTTATCATTGTACAATGAATATGATAAACTGATAATAATTGATAAGCCATTTCTAATGTACGATTGAAATATACAAATAGATTCACGTTCAAATAATTTTAGAGTAGATATTATTACTCATTATCAAATATTGATGTGTTACAAACCAATCTAAAATATTACTCTGTTAGAAAATAGTAAAGGAATTGGGTATTCATTGGGTATCTATTACCTGCAATGAACGGTATGCACAAATAATTTAATCTTACTAATTTTTTTTAATTTGATTCAAACAAATAAAATGGCTAATATTGAAATTAAATAAACAAAAACTGTTCTTTAAAATCCTGAAGCAGATTTACTAATTGGAATAAGGCCAGATACTTTTTTAGCAGACCTTTAGATTAACTGCCAAAAGTCAAATCATGTTATGCATAATATACTAATACTTGTATATCTATACTTAACAAATTTTAAATATAAAACTTCTTACATAAATAATAGGGAGGAACCTAATACATTTTTCTAAGTCAATGTGACATTGAATGATATTGAACTTGTTTTCAAATTCAAACAATTTTAAAACCATAAAGAAACAAAATGATTACATTTTTAATTTGTAAATTAACATAGACAATTCATATTCTCAATATCCAATAAATAAACAATGACCTCTGTTTGAATAAATATAAATACCTCACACTATCATTCATCACTCATCGGTATTTAGCTAGATGACAATGATGACATCATTATATGTAATATATTTAACTAAAAAATTAGTTCGATTTGTATTTCTACTTGATGACTTAAGACCTTATAAGTTTATGTACATTAATTGTTTATTAGTCAACAGTGAATCTGTTCTTATTTTTAAAATAACAATTGTTTTTTAGTTATTTTAAGACATTTAGATAAAAGAAATCTGTAAGATTATCACTTTACCACTGCTACAAGAAATTAATAATAAGCTATTAAAGAAAAAATATTATTTTAAGAAGATAATATTATGTTAGATTGTAATAATGGGTACCTAAACATAAATTAAAATAATTTTCACAAGCATGAATAAATTAAAATCGATAAGTAATCATATTTAGTTAGGAATTATAAGAGTAATTATACTCATTAACATAATATGACTTACCTAGTATTTAATTAACCAAATACACAATATAATTCATGCAATTACTAACAAAAATAGAATAAATTAATATTGATATAAAAAATTAGACCACTCGTTATTTATTTTAAGTGTGTTAATTACAAATTTCTTAATAGTTACAAAATAATGCTATATACCAAGGTAGACATTAAAATGTAAATTAGGTGTTAAAATGTAGGCACGCATTATGTGGATTATTATTTTAGTGTTTTTGATCTCATGTATGGCCATACAAATACCCAAACTAATTTAGAAAACAAGAACAATATTTAATCAAAATAAATATAAGTGTGGATGGATGGACAAGTTAGTCAGTTGAACAATTAAAAGCCATTTTTTTTTTCTTTCACACAGTATTGGTTGTCAAATATAACCAATACATTGTTATGTTATCTAGTTATGTTTTGATTTGATTTTAATTCTTACAAAATAAAAATAGATTTGTAGGTAGGTAATATATATATAATTAATAGGTTAACTCTTAATTATGAGACTATTAATTTTATGATTACTTATTCTCAGATAATTTATTGTAAACTGATAATAATTATTAACTATATTTTCCAGCAGAAATTTGGAGTTTAGAACTTTTTTATAATACATAATCATGTTAAAATAATATCAATAGTAATATTACATATATCACATTCAAAATTATAGATAAAACTGCAGTAGGTTGGCTGAAACAATTAACGATTTTTGAAGCCAATGGAAATGTTTGTTTTCTGTAATTTTTAGAACATAATAATATTATAATAGTACCTAATTAGTAACACAGATATGCCACAGAATATATTTACTAATACTTATCTAACAACTAACAATAACAAAAAATGTGTCAATCTCATAAGCATTTTTCACATTTAATATATTTGCCCGTATATTTGTATGAATAAATTAACATTGATTACTTATGCATACTAAACAGTACATAACTAAACGGTTAGGTACCTACAAGGAATGAAATAGTATTTTAATTACAATAAGATGTTTTATCTAACAAGTAGGTAGATATAGTTGATATAGTTGTAGGAGCGACCTGAGTTAAATCTCTGTCTCATTTAGAGACATTTAAGTACGCTTAGGTTCTTTCAAAAGTTAGATTATCATCTACAGCTCCAATCCAATTTATATTTACAGGTTTTTGTTTTTTGCATACATTTAACGTTAAATTCAAAACGATTAAATATTATTACTTATTAGGAATTACAAAGAACAAAATTTTTGTTAGAGGTGGATATTTGTTAAAAAAAAACTATTTACAGGTTACAGCGATAATTAATTCATGTGGGTAGGTAAGTTAGTTTTTTACATGTAAATTATTATTAATAAAATATCCAATGATATGTGCAAAATTTGTGTTTGTGAAAAATAAATCATCGAAAAATGTTAATGTTAAATACCTAGATAATTACAAAAAGTACAAATACATGACTGTAAACACATCATTCAACAACAGCGGAGTGACAACGATTAAACAAAATGCCCGAGAAAAATAATATGTTATCAATTGATGTTTGTAACCGGAGTAGGTAGATAGGTAGGAACGTGAACATAATATTTTACAGTAAATTTAAATCCTATTTGGACTAGGTAGGTATATACAAGTATCTATTATTGGCTATTTTTCAAAAAGTCTACACTGGATGATTTTGTTTTTCAAAAAAATTTTTTATTTTAAATGTAGATAGTTAGGCTACGTTTGATGTCCCTGAATACTGTTTTTTTAAGTATAATTCTTCGGTCACATTGGTAATTAAATCAGTACAGGTATGTTTGAGTGGAGTCAACGAAAAACAGGTATCTTGATCGTACGAGATTGTAGAGCCAAGGTCGTTTTTTGGCGCAAGAACGTGGACGAAAATTATGTAAAATCATAAAACAGTTAGGTAGTTTAGAGATTATTAATTCAATAATATTATTATACATTTATACCTCGTCGTTATGAGATCGGCGGCAGCGAAATTAAAAACACGAAAATCGCTCACAGACTTGAAACACTCGTCGGACTGACAACGGTCGCAGAATTATAATAATAGGTGATAATAAAGATTAATCAGACGAAAATTTGAAGAAAAAATATATATTAATATTATTATAATGATATTGTTCTTGTTGCTATGATGGACGAAAACCGTACACACTCGTGACAATAATTAATTACGGTATGTCTTGATGATATTAACATTATAGCATTAATAATAATAATTGATTAAGACAAGAACCGGAAACGAGCCGAAACGGTGGCGAATTAAAAGCGAGAGTGACTGGTGGCCGGTGGGCAGCAGGCAGCGGCGACGTGCGTAACGCGACAAACACGTCCGGAACACGACTGGGCCGACTGGCGGTGAGCAGTGAACACGACGCGCGACGAGTATGTTACGATCACTGAATCCAGAATCGCTGACCACCGCGAGCCGGTAAAAACGCGGGTCAATGGTGACTGCGATAAAAAAAACCTACAATTATTTAATGGTAGTATGGTACCTATTGGTTTATCGTTCGCTATCGGCAAAACGAACGATGCCCACGGTTTTGGAGGGGAATCAAAACGAAACGATACGACGCGAGCCAAGACGAGAGTGCGTGCGGGCGGCGGGCCGCGATCAGCGTTATCATCGCGAATAACGAGTCACGAGGTCGGAGGTGGTGTTGGCGGTGGCGCGTACGGGCGAGACGAACCTCACCGACCAGGACAGGACGGACAGGATGCAAGTGATTGGATTCCGGAAACTCGAACATTGTGGACATCGTTATCACCTCCAGACGCACGGCATGCAGACGAACGATAATGATAATAATATTACTATTATTATCATTTCATTTTTTTTGCGACATTACTATTACCGTCGCGCGTTCTCGTCAGATATCGATCGTAGCGAGGTCAATGCCGTCCAGAGCGGAAAATGGGCGGGAGGGGCCCGGACAGAAATCTCGATCAAAACCCAATAATAATAATCGTGCGATATTAWTATATTTTAACAATTAATAATGATAGTATTAATAATATTTTATTATGAACCGAACCGGAGGTACTCACCCCGTTTGTGAGCCGGTGTCGGTCATGCAGTCCGGCAGTGACGGTGGCAGCGGCGGTGACGGCGACGGTGATCGGTGGTCGGCACTCGACTGGCGGCGGTGGCCGAGTTTTTAAAAATAAACGCCCGGCGGTCGGCGGCGGAACGCGAAAAAAAATATTATTAAAACAATTTTTTCTCTTCCTTTCCCCTCCGCGAGCGATCGCGACCGACGTCCTCTGATGCGGCGGCGGCGGCTTTGGCGGCTTGACGTGACATTGGGGACTCCGCGCGCGGTCGGCAAAAATTACATCATACTCGGCGGCGCAAGCGCGCTAATACCTGAGCACGCCGCGCACGTTTTATTTCGCGTTGGTGTACGCGCGCGCTTATTATTATTATTATTGTGTATAGTTTTAAGTTTATTTGTTTAATTTTCGTATAATATATTGTTGTACGTTTGCCAGCAACTTTGTGTCTGCAGCTCGTAAAGTAGATAGGAACTCGACTACTCGAGTAAYATTTAAATATTTAATAAACATTCGAAAACGCGTCTTAAACACTTTTGAAAAGGCACGTGGACAGAGTAATCTTTATTCAAAATCGAATACCAAGTTTTAAATTATTATTATTATCATTATTATTTTTATTTTTAGTTTATTGTAAATTAAAATGTTTCATGCTATGTATTTGTTTTTGTACAATTTTGAAATGTAAAAATACTGCTCGTTACTAGACMCGACATTAATCGAAGCGAAATCAGAACAGCCCCGCTCCTGTCGCAGACGTCGCCTTATGTAGTTGTAGCATTCTTGATGACTCGGCTCGATTGACTTCTGCTTTGTATTTGGTCGTTATTTTAGAACTTAACGATTTGTTATGTATATTTACAACAATAGTATTACTTTTTCCAGTAATTTAAAATAGAAAAATTATTAGGAATCTTCTATCATATATATTTTTCTAACGTTAGCTGTGAAAAGATATATCTTTATGAAATTCTGGCTGAAAATTTTTTATGAATTTCTAGCATAAAATAATTTACGAATTTTCGTGGTTTTCGTGATTTTTACATAATATGTTATTAAAACTCAAACTTTGAATGCTTTTAAAAAAAATTGTGACTATGTATTACTTTTATTTTGCAACTGCAATTGTAAAAATATGTTAGGAGCCTTGTATTAAATTTTCAAATCTTAGAATTAAAAA